TACAATATACAGAACTTAGGAAACTGAGATAATGCCAGGGGGTAAAACAGCAACAAAAAGAAAACAACAAATTAAAAAGTGCATGAGCAGAGAATAGTTCAGGAAGTACAGTTAAAAATTTTAAGGCTTCAACAGTCTTTACAGCTTTGGGATTAGTTGAGGTCCCAAAGCTTTCTACGTAATGTAGCAATTCAGACAAAAATAGATTAAAAAGAGGCTTCTTGGCTGAAAATTTGCACTTAATGAATATGAAATTTAGCTAAAATTAATAATAAATTAATTACGTTAAAGTTGTTTTTCTTAGAGGGGCAGAAATTGTAAAAACCAAAAAGTACATTTGTATATAAGAGGGAAAAACTACTGCGGATTTCAGACTGAATGTAGTAAACAAAGTTTTTCAAAAACCATCAGGGTGGATATAGTTCACTCACACAGAGGACCTATCCACGTCATCATTTACCCAGAATGCTTTGAGTATAAATAAAATGGTTGTCTGCGTTAAAATATGTTTTTAAAAATGATAAAAACTAAACAGCCTACAGTATTTTTACAGTCTTTATTTTACAGTTAAATTATATGTTTATCAAATAAAGTCGAATGTTACAACTAATCGGGGATCCCTTTAAAAGAAGAGATGTTTCACAGTGGAAAACATCAAGCTGGAACAACTTTTTTAGTTGCGTTGCTGTCATAAAACGTAAAATTACCTCATTAAAATGAACAGTTCTCAGTTTAAAGATTTGAAAAGTTTACTGTGTTTCATTTTAACTTAAATGTTTTTTATGATTCACAAACTTTCATTCTGTTTTTGTTTACATCCTAACTTTTTCCCAATTGGAGTTGGAAATAAATCTGACTGGAAGTTTTATGCTAATCAAAATGACCTCTTTTTCATGAAATAATAATTAAATCATACACCTGTGTTATATATTTAAATGTTAATGTGGTTTATAATCATTTAAATTTTGATTTGCAGGTCACAGGAGTCCAATCCTTTGACGCCACGGGCCCTTTGGTCAGTGGACCTCAAGTTGACTCACTTGGACTGGAACCCCGAGGCAACCCTGATACACTTCCAGGGACATTACCTCACCATATGTGAACTCGACTACAACATCCTGCAGGGAGAAATCCAAAACATACCCAAGAATAAAGCTGCTGTGGCGATTGGAGAGTTTTGTCTCGTAGAAGATGCGACGTCAGCCCGCTGGTTTAGAGGAAGAGTTCAAAACCAAACAGATGCCATGTATGATGTGTTCCTCATTGACCACGGTAATGTCCTGAGCGTCGACATCACCCACATTTCTTCCTGTTCAAACAGCCTGTTTAACCTGCCTCCAAAAATAGTCTGTGGCTTTCTTTCAAATGTGCTGCTGCTTCAGAATATCTCTCACGCAACAGCTGAGAAATACTTTTCAAGTCTGATTGGTAAAACYGTCACAGGTTTTATACAAGCCCTCCTTCCTCACAAAGTTCTCCTCTTAGAAGCCCCTGACATCAACTGTGACCTGGTCCGGAATGGCCTCGGGAGGTCTGTGGACACGGAGACCTTCATCCTCCTGGTCAGCATGCTGACAGAGGTGCCGCTCAAACAAAACATTGAACCCGTTCCTGACTTGCTCATCGAAAAGCCAAGAGTTCAAGAATTTTGCTTCAAGTCCTCCAGCTTGCAGGGGTACGAGGACGTTTTGTCTTTCTGCGGGCCTAGACTGACTTGTGAGACGCGCGCTAAAGTGCGAATAACCGCTGCCGTCAACCCCGGGCTGTTTTACTGTCAGATGGCCAATGTGGAGGAAGAACTCTGGCAAATGTCCAAACGGTTGGCTCAGATTTTTGAGCACAGAACCAAAGAATACAACCAGAAAACTGCAGAGAACCTGGGTCTACTTTGTGCCGTTAAAGGAAAAGATGAGAAGTGGTACAGAGGCTTTGTGCAGTTTCTACCCGTCAACTCTCAAGTCAGAGTCTTCTTCATCGACTACGGATTCTTCGAGTTTGTAAAAGTCAAGAACATCCACAGGTTGCCTCCTGAATTTTACTCGGCACCTGTCATGGCGCTCCCGTGCTCGCTCCCTGCCAAGACGGGTCAGGATGTGGCTCTGAAAGCGCAGCAGTTGGGTTTCCTCAAGGCGGGCCTGCTCGGCGCTGTGCTGGACGTGGAGATTGGAGAGTTTGACGTGGACCAGCATTTGTACACAATCACTGTGCTCGGTGCTGAAGAAACGCACGTGGAAGAACCAGAGCCGGTCCAACATCGCCCCATTGAGCCAGATGCCAAAGACGTGACCTCCGAGGATGGACTTTTAAACTGTGAGACGATCGTAGGTGAGGTGTTCAGTGAAACATTACAAGCAGAGGAAGTGCAGGTTGGCTCTGTCTTTGTGGGCTACGTGGAGCATGCACAGAATCCAAACAACTTCTGGATCAGAACACAGAAACGCAATGAGGAATTTGAGCAAATGATGTTAGAAATAACGAAGCACTTCAGCCAAGTGAAGCTGGACGAAGACGTATTATTGAATATAGACATTGGGACCATGTGCTGTGCCGTCTATGAAGAAGACATGCATTTCTACAGGGGTGTAGTGATGGACATCCTTAAACATGGAGCCGAAATTCTTTTCATCGACTTTGGAAACACTGAAAAAGTGCCACACGCATTGATCAAAGACATCCCAGAGACTGCTGCTGATAAATCGGCTTTCGCGATTTGTTGCACACTTGCCAACATTTTTCCTTTGGATGACGTCTGGCCCAGCGCCACATGTGATTTTTTCAGAAAGGCTGTGTTGAACAAAGTTTTGCAGGTTCGCGTTGTCCAGATAAAAAAACACAAATGTGTCGTGGAGCTCTTTGAGACGGGAAGTGATTACAGTATTGCCAAGCTTTTGACCTCTTTCAAATTAGCCGAATACATTTCTGTGAAACCAGCGACGCAAAATGGCGAAGACGGGCCAGATAAAACAAAACCTTGTTCAGAGACGGCAAAGATGTGTGGGAAGTCAGAGCAATGGGAGGACGAGGAGGAGAATACGTGCGTTAATGAAACAAAGGCTAAAGTTGGCTTCAGAGCTTCAAACATCGAGCTAGGGTTGGAGTTGTCAGTGCGCTGCTTGGACATTACCTCTCCATCTGATTTCTGGTGCCAGCTTCTTGATAAAGTACAAGTTTTGGACATACTGATGGATGAAATGCAGAAATATTACTCAGTTCACACAGTCCCCCTGCAGCCTGGGGAGTCACTTTGTGTAGCCAAATCACCACAAGATGGAAAATGGTACAGGGGTGTCATCATAGGCCGACAGAAGGATCACAGCAGAGTAATGCTGGTTGACTACGGCCCCATCGTCGAAGTCAAAGAGCAGCACCTTCAGGCTATAGCACTACAGTTTTTTCGTTTCGAGGAGCTAGCTTTCAGGTGTAGCCTGAACAATCTGACCGAGCCTGCAGACCCAGCGCACGGTGAGGACTGGAGTCCAGAGGAGACTGATGTCCTGAAAGAGTTTGTCCTCAAGAGTGCAACCGATCTTAAATGTCAGGTTGTTTCCCAGTTAAATGTGAAAAACAAAGGTCTGACTTACATCGTTGAGCTCTACAACAGCCAGCAGAGCGTGACCGATGCACTCAAAGAGCAGCGACTTGCAAGAAGAGCAACATTGGTGAGACAAGAGTCCGATGTCCTCCCTGAATCTTTCGTCTACTCATCGTTCGATCTACATCCTGGGAGTGAAGAAGAAGTCTACGTGACCCACGTTAGCAGCCAGTGTGAGTTTTACTGCCAACTTGACAGAAACACTGAAATCATCGAAGAGCTTGAAAATAAAATCTCAGAGGAGAGTGAGAAACTGATGGAGGCCAACACGACAGCTGCTGTGGGGAAGCTGTGTTTGGCTAAATACCTGGATGGTAAATGGTACAGGGCCTTGATGCTGCCGGTTCAGTCGCAGCTGCACTTTGATGTGTTTTTTGTGGACTACGGAAACACAAACATCTCAGAGAAAACCAAAGTCATGTTCATTCCCAGGAACTGCGAAGACTTGTTGTACACGCCGATGCAGGCTGTGAGGTGTCACCTGGATTTAGTTCCAAAGGCGGAGCTCTACGCAGATGTCAAGAAATGGCTCTGCGACGCCATCATCAATCAGCTGGTCCGAGTCATCGTACGAGCAAAGAGGGACGACGGCTCTTTTGACGTTGAACTGTTTGATGGAGAGGTTAACATCAACGAGAAGGTAAAGGAGCTCATTCTCTCAATAAAAACAAAAACTGTTTGTTTAACAAAAAACAGAAACAAGATGAGAGATAAAACTCACTACAAAATAACCACAAACACACCTGGTAAATTGAAAAGTCCGTCTAAAGGACGATCTTCAGCTTCGACATCTAACGTCCAAAAATCTAAAAACACTAAAAATATTACGTATTTGAGGTCTCCGAACAAGAACACGACAACAAATCAACAAAATGAGAGTGACAGATGGAAAGTATCTCGGACAAAATCTAAAGTCCAACAAAAAGACCATCAGGATGTGAAGTCAAACCAAACGCAGAAGAGCAAGGAAACGAAAACTGCTCAGCTGTGTGTTTTACAGAAGAGCATCCGTTCAGGCTTCAGGACAAAATGTTTCGTGTCCCACATCGATTCTGTCAGCAGCTTTTTCCTGCAGTTGGCAGAGGACGAACCAGATATCCTAAAACTGTGTGAAGATCTCAACGCGAGCATGTTCAGGGATTCACTAAAACTGGCTGCATCTTTTCAACTCGGCGATGTTGTTTTGGCTGAATTCGAGGAGGACGGCGCTCTGTATCGTTCAGTAATTAAAACCCAGGAAAGCAGCTCGTGTTTCAAAGTAGAGTTTGTGGATTATGGAAACTTTGCAGTCGTACAGAGGGAAAAGATGTACCCCATGCCTGAGGAGTATCTGTCTCGGCCAAGATTCAGTATTCCTTGTTCGCTGCTGGACACCAGCTCGTATGAAACGGACTCTTCTTTCACTGATGCCGTGGTGGAGAGACCACTCATTGTCGACTTCATCCGCCAGCATGGGATTCAGTGGAAAGTCAAAGTTGAGGTTCTTGATGTGGTTGTTGCAACACAGAACAGCAGCCTTAAAAAGTCTCTCTTGAGTGAAATCAGTGAGAACGTGACATCCTGTGAACAAAACCTCAGGGAAAAAGATCAAAACGACGACTCAACTGTTGAAGGCGGCAGTTTGATGCCAGCACCATCACCCGTCAGGTCAGTAGTATCTCTAAGGTGCGTCAAAAGAAGAGGCTTCAGAAGGAGGCGTCTCAGAAAGACCAAAACATCAACTGCCAAAGCAAAGGACTTTGTAGACACTGGTCTGCCAACCATTCAACCCAGAGACACTGAAACTGGAACTATTCTTTCAGTCCGAAGTGATGGCAGTTTTTATATCAGACTCGTTAAGAACAACGACTTGCTCACAGGTCTGGAAAAGCACATAACGAACAACTTAAACAAGTGCAAAACAGTTGGTGAAGCGTGCATCAAAGAAGGCCTCAGGTGCTTAGTTCAGATCCAGGAAGACAAGTGGGAAAGGGCGGTCGTTCAACAAGTCAGCGAGGGAGAATTTAAAGTCTTCCTAGTGGATTCTGGAATTACAAAAGACATTCCAAGTATGCCTGTCTTAGAACTGGAAACCAGGCTCTCAGTGTTCCCAAACCTTGCTGTTTTGTGCAAAATGAACAGTTTAGGGTTTATCGAGGAAGAGGAGGCTAATCAGTGCTGGTACAAAAACCTGGAACCAATGATCGGCTCAGAGGTCAAGCTGATATTTGTGAGTTTCTCCGAGGCTGACAACTCGTGGATGGTTGAAATAGTCATGGATGGACCGTTCCTCCTCCGGCAAATCAAAGCCTCACGTCAGCAAAACCTTGAAAGGTTTGCATCTTCTGCCGCAACCCAAAGTGGTCCCCTCTCAGATGCGAGCACTCCTCAGCAGCTTGTTTTCGCTCCAGTTGAGACTGGCAAAGGCTATTCTGGCTTTGCAGCTGTAGTCACGACTCCCTCAGACTTCTGTGTTGTTCTGGAAGATCTGCTTCTCGTCATGAATAAAGTGTCCGTCACTTTGGACAACCTGCCCCAAGAGATGCCGCCGCTTCCCAAGGCCCACGTTAGACCAGGGACCTGCTGCCTGTTCAAACCGGAATCCAGGAACAGGTGGTGCAGGGCTGAAATAATACACGCAGACGCCTCAGTGGTCCTGGATCTCGTGGACCACGGACAGTACGAATGCCTCTTGTATCACGATCTGTCCAAGCTGAAGAAGCTTCCAGCAGAGCTAACCGACCTCCCAAAAGTTACCTTCCCCTGCACCCTGAGAGGCGTCAGGCCAGTTGGAGACGGACAGTGGAGCGACAAAGCGGCTGTCTTCTTCCAGAAGTCTTTGTACCAGAAGAATCTCAAGATCTTCTTCAGAGAGTTTGTGTCCAACTCAGACTGGAACGTGGACATTGTGGTCGACGGCGTCCATGTTGCCAAGAAGCTGGTGGATGCCGGACACGCAGACTACACGGATGACATGCTTCAACTCAGGTATGACTACTTTACTTTAACCTAAAAATGACTAATTTAATTATTTTTAAGATTTTTCTACTGTCTTCTTTTCTAGTCGATGCTTTCAATCTGCAAAAATTATTTAAAGTGGACCAAATATACTAAATTCATTTATTTCAGGTTTTCTTTTACTTACATTTGGGTCTGTACTGCTTCTAAAAACAGTCCAAGCACCAAAAAAAATGCACTCAGAGGTATTTTTACTGTAAGTAAATGTATTTTTGTGTGTCTTGAAATGAACACCGCTACTTGTGATGTCGCAAGTCGCACTCCAGCCTACCTCACGTCCTGGTAACCCAAGCAGAGACTCCGCCCACTTCACAGGTGTTTTAGAACAGTCAAGGAGAACAGAGATTCAATTTAATTCAATTTATTTATATAGCGCCAAGTCCCAACATACGTTGTCTCAGGACACTGTACATAAAAAGAACAATGTAAAGAAGAAAGCAGCAGATTGTGTTGAATCACTTCATCACAGTCTCCCATCCTGAGCAAACGGTGGAGAGGAAAAACTCCCTGCTAATCAGGAAGGTGTGTGGATTAATTTTTTTTTTTCTTCAGTTAATTTTATTTTTGATGGTAATGTTCTAGAAATATTAAAGAAAGTTTGTGTAAATAATTTCATCATGAACTCCTTTGGAAAAATCGTACTTTCAACTGAAAAGAAACGGCAAGTAAACTTCTGGCGGGGGGCGGAGCTAATGTAAACAAAAGGTTGGGAGGGGGTTTCCATTGCAATTTATGCAAAGCAGCAGGTTCTGGAGAGAGCTGAAGAACAGGCAGAACTGAAATGGTGAAATTTCATTATCTGAGATTAATTTTGTGAATTAAATCAAATGTTTTGTAGAGGCCACAGATGGATCAGAACTTGTTCTAGGACCCCCATATTAGGTCACCTTTAACACAGTTAAACATGATTTATTTTACCTTGTATTTCAGGTTTCAGGCGGCTGCTCTTCCTCCTGGCAGTGAGGAAGAGGAGGGCTTAAATGAAGCTGAGGCTGTCGATGGACCTGATGCAAAACAGATGTTTGGTGCTGAGCCCAGATCCAAACAGTGTAAGACTTCTACACCCTGCATCCCCATGGTGGAGTGGAGGGAGTCGAACCGACACCCCACCACTACCCAAGATGCATTGCACCTTCATCCTTTTATTAAAAAGAATAAAGTGAATTCATGTGACATTTAAGCTGTTTTAAACTAATCGTTGTTTTCTTCTGCGGCAGGTTTTCTGATGTGAATCATCCACCGCTGCAGAGATGCTGCAGAGCGTCACAAGCTTTTGTTTTGTTCATTTATCAAAGCTTATAAGTATTTATTTGTTGCTTTTTTTGCATTTAAAAAACACTTAATTTTGTTTTCTTTAACCAACATGATAAATCAAGTTAGAAGTTGGAACTAGTCTAAAGCTTCATGGTTGTTTTTCACGTTTTAAAGTAAAAAAAACACGTTTTTCTTGGAATTTCAAGGTTTGTTTTGATGATGCATCTTATTTTGTAATTGTCAAGAAGAATTTCTGTTTGAGTGTTAAAACAAAAGTTTCGTTATTAAATTGTTAAAATAAATTATGCCATGATTTTTCAGGTGCAAAGTGAGTTTGTTCTTGTTTCACCACTTGATGGCGCCAAACTCATGACCCCGTCATACAGTACCTCCATGTGACCTAACTTTACTGTACTCAGTCAAATAGTTATAAATATAAAATATATAAACTAAGCACAAAAAGGAAGTACATGTCCTTATGTTTTGAGTTGTTTAGTTTTTGAAAATGCTTGTGACATTTGTGTCAGTTTTGTATAAACTGTCTCAGAACAGTTAATGAGAAATAAACACGTACAGTTAAAGTAGAGATTTTGAGTCTTCAGTCGAACTGCTCTGTTTTCTCCTTCTTGAACATTTAGACGTTCATTTAAAAGTGCAGCCAGTTTTTAGCGGCATCTATTTAAATATGTGAAACTGATAACAGGTGTTGTGCCGACTTCTGTTCCCCATCGAGACGATGTTAAGCCATTGGGATGCGTTTCACTGGCAACGATTAGCGCCCCCCCAAAAAAAGTGATACAGATCGAGACGTTCGCTTTTAGCAGTTTTCTTTAAATATGGTTTAAATGGAAAATAAATAAATTCAACATGATAACACTACGGAAGCGTAGAGCTGTCACATGACAAATTATTTTTAAACTGGATCTCGTTATGAGAAAACTCGTAAAAATGAGAAAATATGTCGTTATAACGACGAAAATATCTCATTATGAGAAAACTATCGTTATATCAAGACAACCGTCTCGTTATAACGTGTTATAGTTTCCTTTGGTTTACCACTTTCACGGACGTTTATTGCCTGGATGGAGAACACGACTGAGCCACTATATGGCTTTTTACGAAGAAGAAATCTGCAAGAGGAACACATTTCTAGACTAAAAAATGACAAGTTAGTACTGAATAATCAAAAAGAAAAAAATTGTATAGGCCTTCTGGACGAGTTCTTCTCTAATGAAACGTTTCGTCTCTCCTCCAAGAGACTTCTTCAGTCTGAGAGTTTCAGTTTGCCTGAAACTCTCAGACTGAAGAAGTCCTATACAATTTTTTTCTTCTTGATTTTTTTTTTACCTGGATTACTGAGATGCATCAGGACATTCCTAGTCAGAATTGTAATACAGATATCACCAATTACATTTATGCCTGTATGAATTAACATTTCAGTTATATGTAATCAAATTTGTACTAGGCTATTCATTTATATATATATATATATATAT